CATTTGACGGGACATAACCATGATCAGAAAAAGGGGGGAGGCCATGGGGTGGCTGGGGCTCGAGGTCACCACCCCACATCGAGACCACTCTCACTTTTATCTGCTTTATGTGATGGGGTTTGCGGCCAACAGCACTTTTGAGACGCCAAGGCGCTGGCAAGCCCCAACGAACCGACGTGTCCCACAGACACCGATCGTGCTACGTGGGTTGAGAGCGGGATCCACGAGGTTCAGAATTCGGGGGAGGGGCAGGTAGGGGATGGAGACTGTCCTCCAGGGGAGGCCCACGGAGGCCGGGGTGGCGGGTACCTGCTATGCGGCTCCCGTACGCCACTCCCACCGCACAGAAGCTGTTGTTGGGCACCGCGGCGATCTCGCCCGCACACCTCGTGCCGTGGTGATTGCCGTTCTCCACGTCTGGGTGGGGCATAGGGTCAGGGTCGTTGGAGTTGAGGTCATAGCTGCCCTCGGGGCTCTGAAACAGGGCGGGGGTGACATGTGGTCATTCACAGGCTTGAAGGGGTCGGGCCCTGGAACTCAAGGAGACAGGAGACCTGGGGGAACCTGGGACTCTGGGGCTCTGAGCCAGCGCAGCGAGCCTGTCTGTCTCTCTCTGCAAACCACACAGGCCACGGACATGAGGCAGGACACACGGGGCAAAACGGAAAGTGCCACAGGGCTCTGGAAACTTCCCTCTCGTCCACTGTGGACATGGTTCAGGAGGCCGCTCCACAGCTCGGGAAACCCAGGTAAGGGAGACTCAGGGCTACCCGAAGACCAGGTTATAGAAGAGGAAGGTGCTCAGAGGCCAGTTGCCAACGGGGGGCCACTCCTTACTCCCCAGGGCAGGGAGCAGCAAGCGGAACCAGGAAGTGCCACCCGGAGTGCTGTCCCTGTGTCTTAATTGCCAGAGTGGAATGCCAGCTGGAGGCAGGGGGAAGCTCAGCCCCCCAGATCCCAGGCCCCTCTGTGTGGCCCAGTGACCTCTACGAAAGGGAACCAGACTGAGGCAACATCAAGAAGGAGGTAAGACACAGGGGTTGGAGGGCTCGTTCCAGGGCCACTCACATAGTTGGGCGCGATGTCCTGGATGGTGTGCTCCACCCCGTCGTCCACTACCACCACAGTGACCCCTCGCCCGGTTACATTGCGTTCCCACACACCTGTCACGTTGATGTCCCTGCCGGGGCTCCGCCGGTTGTTCTGTAGGGCAGACAGGGTGAGGGGCTGCTCTCAGAGCCCTGGGAGCCCAGTGACACACAGCACAGCTCACAGACGGACAAGCTAGCAGCCCTTTTCATGCCTGGACACCATCAAAGTGCCACACAGAGGCTGTAGACCGATAGGTCGAGTGAGGACAGACGGACGGGTGAGGGCTTTGCCACAACCCAGCTCTCCGGGAAAGCCTGGCGCCATTCACGGTTGACAGAAGTGAAACGGTGGCAAGGTTAAGGGTTGGATGATACAATTATTATGCCATATAATACAGAGCATATTGGGGCACCTGGGTGGCTCAGTCGCTTAGGTGTCTGACTCTTTGATTCCAGCTCAGGTCATGATCTCACTGTTCGTGAGTTTGAGCCCCATGTTGGGCTCTGTTCTGACAGTGCTTGAGATTCCCTCTCTCCCTCTCTCTCTGTCCCTCCCCCGTTCACGCTCTCTCTCTCTCAAAGTAAACTTAATATATATATATATATAATTATATTACCATTATGTAATAAAACAGGTTGCAAAGTACCGTGTTTCAGGCACACGTATATTAATTCACTCATCCTAACCGTGACTCCACAAGGTAGTAGGTACTGTTACAACCTCCATTTTACAGAGGGGGAAACTGAGGCACAGAGCGGTTTAAGCAGCTTACTCCAAGGCGTGTGTTGGCGGGTGGCGGGGCGGGATTTGAGCCCAGGCAGCCTGGTGCCGGCCCCCACACCGTCACCTCGGCAGTCCACCGGCCCCCCAGAAGTGGACGCAGGGAAGGTGAAGCCCACAGAGGTGTCTCCTCCGGCAAAGGATGGGGGCAACAGAAGAGTAACACAGTCAAAAGCCCACTAATGGGTGGAACACCCAGCACATATGCACCAGAAAGCTGAAAAAGGCAGGGACGGACTCACCAGGTGCCACTGCTGTGGGTACTTGGGGTCATTGAAGTGGACACTGCGCTTGGCCCGCTTGAGCAGCCTCTGCTCTGAGTGCCAGCGCACGGCTTCGTGCCCGGCGAGCACGGTCTCCGCCCGCTGCCGGGTGGCCTCCACCTGCTGCTGCCCAGCCGGCTGGACAAAGAGGTAGTATCCGTGGAGCTCCCCGACGCGGCCAGCGTTCAGCAGCCCCGCCGCCCGGGCCAAGGCATCTGCCTGCTGCTCCTGGGTCTCTTCCTCCCCTTCCAGGCTGTCCAGATGCACGGCCCAGCTCAGCCCCCCCAGACCCTGGGCTCCAGGTCCCTCGGTCCCTGCCAGGCCCATGACCCAGGGCACCAGGAAGAAGAGGCCGGCTAACTCCAGCCAGAGGCAGGTGGGCAGGCCCAGGGGGGCATCCGAGTGTGGCACTTTCTGCCTCCCCTTCGGCATCAGAGCAGTAGGCTGCAGACAGATAGAAAAGACATCAGAGACCAAGCCACCAATGTCTTACACCTAGAAATGCCCAACCCACTCCGTGTAAATGTTTAGATACTGGATCCTCTCGTTTCATTCACATTTATTCCTGAGCAACAGGGATAAGTCCTCAGGTGGGGTGTGGGCCAGTACTAATCCCAGCGGATACCTCCACAGCATGAAGGGCCAGTCGCCCTCTCACCACATAATCAGGTAGAATGTCCAACTGCTAGCAGGCAACTTGCCACTGTTGCTCTGAAAAGGGCTTAAACGTCCCATCGCTCCCATAGATCACTGGCAGAATCATGACTGGTCTTTATTTTATTTATTTATTTTTTTTTATGACTGGTCATTAGAAGAGACCTTCCTCCCTTTAGAGGGGACATAAATCCTTCCCCAGCTGACATCTCAGTCTGGTTGTCCTCAGGGCCGACTCCCCACAACGGTGCCCCAATCCTACCTGGACTCTATGTGGGGTTGAGCTCCTGGTCTGGCTAACCGCCTCACGCTCATTTTGTGCAAATGGAGAAAAGGCATCCCTTTCTCTGAGTAGCGTCGACTCTGAGCACAGACTGCAGACCTGTGGGCCCCAAGAAAAGAAGAAATGGTGTCTTCCCTAACGCGGCGGAACAAGCAGACGCTAGCCATGAACAGCAGGACCCGTGACCAAGGGAACTGGCCAATGATCGAGTCTCATCTTCAGGAATCTCGCATTGGCTACAGACTGGCAAAGAAGTGGCCAAGTCAGTACAGAGCCCCGAAACCCTACTTCTCGTCCTAACCGTCATGCTGCCCTCTTCTTTTTTCCCCACAGGCCTAGCAGAGGGCTTAAACTATTACCAAAACACCCTCATCGCGAAGCAGGGAGTACTGCTTCCTAGTAGTCAAGGTGGTAGCCAATTTCCTGATTTCTGGATCTCTGACGGATGCCAGGGGAAGTAAGAGTAGGTAGGAAGCAGTGGAAATGGGGAAAATCTGACGGGGTGCACGAAACTCAACCGGTGTAAAAAGCAAGTGGGCAACCGAGAAGGAAGAAATGATTGGAAAGTAGCACCGAGGGGCTACCCCTTAGGTACTAGCTCGGCAGGTGGGCTTGAAGTGAGGGCTGGCTCCAAACCTGGGGCTGCCACCCACGGTTTGATCGCAGAAGGGCCGAATTTAGAACTGGTGGGCAACTATGGGGACAGGGACGGGTGGGTGGGCAGCGGAACGTGTGTGTGCCCACGGGTGACTGGGCTCCTTCAGAATCATCTGCTCGGCACTCATGTCACACCGAGGCAGGGCTCAGTACCCCCACACGTACCCAAATGGCTCCAGCTCAGAACGTCACAGAAAAATAGGTGTTTTACTGAAGTCTCTTTGGAAAGGGAGAAGGGTACGTAGGCCACCTAACTTTTCCCTCCAAAAGTCTGCATTCCACATCTCATTCCTCCTAGCCCCAGGCAGCCTCCACTGCCCCAACACAGTTAAGATGCCTTTCCCGCACATGACTAAGTAAGACAAAGTCTTGCTAGATAGCCAGATTATGCCCCACCTAGGCAGGCCCCTTCAGTCTCCTAGATCCCACTGATTTCCGGAAGAGAAGAGAAACCTGACCACCACTTCCTCCTTTCTTTCTGGCAGAGCAGAACCGTCTCCTACTCCCACCCCAGGTTTCTGGGAAAGGAGCCTTAAATACCCCCTGAAGGCAGAGCACAGCCTCACCCTACTGCTCTGTGCATCTTTACAGGTGAAAAGAAAGAACACGGGCAGCCCAGAGTCCGGGAGAGAAACTGTCCCAAGAGACTGTCTAGTACCTCTACGCCCGCTTCCTAGAAATCAGGTTGCATCCGCAACTGCGGTCAGTTTCACGGACTTCCCTCTGCCCCGGGCACTGGGGGACCCGTACCACCCTGGAACCCGGGACCCCACTGCCCCGTCTCCCGGCGCTCCCCAGAGCCAGGACTGAGGGCGCCCGCGGGGCAGCCCCCTTGTCCTCGGATGCCGACGCCCCCCCCCAGCTCTGGGCCGCCCGGACTTGCCAGGCCCCGCCCCCACCGAGCGCCCCACTCACCGGCCCGGCCGCAGCTGCTGCCGCCGCCTGCCTGCGGAAACTCGCGGCTTCCCCGGAGCCCGGGGAGCCGGTGACAGTAGCATCACTTCCGCCCAGCGGCGCAGCCAATCAGCGGCGGGGCCCCGGCCGGGCTGAGCGGCCCGGAGCAGCGGGCGCTAGGGGGCCGGCCGCTCCGGGCATCCTCTGCCGGGAGAGGAGCGTGCGGGCGCGGGGGGCTCGGCTCGCCTGGCCCCGCCGCCCCAAGTTATCAGGGCGTCCTCAACTGGGGCCCTGCCCGGAGGGACCGCCTTGCCCTTCATGGCGTCCTCTGGAAAGGGCGTCTCGGTTGCGACCTTTACAAACACCTCGTTCCTCTTCTCTCTCTGATCGCCATGGGCCCGACTCTCCCTGGGACCTTCCCAGAGGGGCTCCTCCCTCCGCGGGGTCTCCTCCCTCCTCGCGGTCGCCTCTCTTTTCCTCCCCGCGCCCCCAGAGAGTCTCCTTGTTATCTTAGGGGGCTTCCGCCGAGTCTGCGGCGCTCGCACGGTGCCAGCTCTGGCCGCTAGGGGGCGCCGTCGGGGGCGGCGCGGTGCCGCCGCGGCCGCTCCTCTCCCGGCCGAGCCTCGCCCGCGCCGCTCCCGCCGCCGGAAGTGGGAGGTGCCGCGCGCGGGCCGGCGCTCGACCCCTCCCCCCAAGGCTCGGCCGCCCCCTCCCCCCGCTCCGCCCGCTCAGGTGCGTCCCGTCCCTGCCCCCCCTTGCCTCCCGGGGGCGCGGCGCGGGAGGTGTGTGCGGGGCGGGCGGGCGGGGAGGGGGGCTGCGACGCCCGGGGCCCGGGCAGGGGCGGGGGGGCGTGGAGGGGGCCGTGCGGACGGGGCGGGGGTCCCGGCCTTAGGAGGGGGCCGGCGCTGGCAGCGCGGTGGGGGGCCGGAGGGAGAGGTGCGGGGGGGGTCTCCGGTCGGAGGAAGCGGCTGGCTTAGCGGTCCCCGGTCGCAGCGGCCGTGATCGCCGGCGCCGCTTCCCCCATTGTCCCCTTCGCGGCCGTGCCCTGTCCTCCCCCGACCCCCTTCGCTCCTGGCGTGGCCGCCTCGCTGGCGGCCGCCGCAGGGATTCCCTTGATGCGTTCGACTTCCCAGCCCGCGCTGCACCGTGCAGCGCGCGGTACCTGCCCCGCGCCCCCTTAGGCTCTAGCCGCGGAGTCGCCCGGGGGACCCGTGCCCTGCGGTCTCGTTTACCGGGCACCGAGGACCCGCGACCCCGGGCTCTGTTGGGGCAGGCTGTTTGCACCCGACGGAGCAGGAATGGCGACCTGGGCCCATTCTCTCCCAGAAGCTTTGTATACTGGGGGAAACTGAGGCACACAGGGTCCCTGGCCTGTGACTGAAGTGTTGACAGAGCCCAGTCTCTTAAAGGTGCGGGGGGGGGGCGGGGGGGAGATACCTGTGATGCTATTAAAATAAAAACAAGAATTTAAACGAACCCTATGTGACACCCCCTAGCCGCCCCCCTCACATTCTTTGCACCCCCTTTGTCTTCACCATAGAGGACCGCGAGTTTGTCCTGCCTCACAAAGGATGACCTTTTGATCCAAAGTCCTGGTTCCCTGACTTGGGCTACCCCGTTTCGCAGCTTCTCTTTTTCTTGGTGGAGTACCCGAGATGCTTGTACTCCTTTGGACCCTTGTAGTAACTTTTAAGAGTGTTTTTTTTCTCAGTCACTGCTTCTCCAAACATTTCCCATCTGTGGGGAGCACAGTGACCGGAAAAGAAGCTAGGGTTGCCGGATACAGTGTTGCTTTTTTTCCCCCTCACACTGCTCACCACCTCCAAAAGCCTTCACTTAAAATTAGGAAGAATGCTTTTCATGGTTTAAAAAGTATAAGATGTTATTGATTATGAGGCCCCTCCCCCTACGTTGTTTGTAAATGATACGTTAAGGTAGACGAGTGGACCATTTGGAAGATTCTCACAGACTAGTCTGTTTTTAAATCACTGCATTTCTGCCAAAAGTGAAAAGGCTTTGTACAGACTCCTCACTGTTTCTATAAACGTGGCGATTGCTGGCGATTGATGTCCACGGGGGCCCTGGCGTAGCCAAAGGATCTTCTTAACCCCTGCTGCAAAAAACTCTGAAGCCTTATTCTCTCCTGGGACCCAACTTTTGCTTTGTGTTTCTTTCCTGGAACTCTGTCCAATGGATGTTCTCAGGGGGAAAGATACACTTGTTTCAACATTTGGAAACTGTAGCCTGTAATTTGTTTCTGAATGTACAGAGCATGATGGCGGCGGCGTCTGAGGTGGCTGGTGTGGTGTCCAATGCCCCCAATCCTCCAGAACCCTCTTCTAGTTTATGTGCTTCCAAATCAGATGAAGGTCTCCCAGACGGTCTAAGGTAACGTGTGCCTACCTGACTGCAAAGGTTCACCGGGGCAAAGGGCTTCTGAGATGGCTTCCTAGGGAAGCATAGCTGGGCTTTCCTCTTTTTGGCTCTGACGGTGCTGTGCTAGATTAAGCGCTTCCAAATGTGTATTTACGGTGCCTAACATAGCACCTGGCACTCAGCAGCCATGCTAGATATGTGTTGAGTGAATAAGATTAGAACACGGGGTCAGACTTTTCCAAAAATGCAACTATTTTACCACCCTACTTTACATGGGCTATACGTTCATTTACTTATGTGTGTATGATACATAGTATACCTGTGTGTATATCTACGTATTATATCTATGTATTTGTTATAATTATATATATTTTATATTGTGTTATATATCATACTGGTATATTTATACATGTCTTCTGTCTTACGTAGAGATACAGACTTATACACATACATATACATGAGACAGTTATACCCACACACACAAATATATGTATATCTATGTTAGCTACAGATAAATAGATCGCTGTGTTAGTATGGCTTACTGCTGCGTGTAGATATTCTGCCTTCTCTCTAAGCTCTTGAGGCCTGGAGTTATGATTGCCCGACCTTGCACCTTAGAGTGCTTAACATACAGTTATGTACAGTGTTGTACTACATTGTATATTCCACCTCAACTGTGTTTTAGAGTGCCTAGGACCTGATGTAATAGTTAATACTTTACTAACGGTTTTGTACATATTAACACAGTTAATCTTCCCAACAAACCCGGTGGAGGGGGGGGGGGTGCTAATACTATTATTCCCATTTACAGATGAGGAAACTGAGACACAGAGAGGTTAGTAACTTGTCCGGGGTCTCCAGTCTACAGTCAGAGTTTGAACCCAGGCCTGTCTGACTCCATAGTACTTAATAAATACTGGCTTACGTGAAGAGACATTTGTTAGCGAAGGGGTGATGTGGGCAAATGTTAAGGAAGCCTAACCATAAACTTGGATCTTCATTTTATAAATAGAATCAGCCGCATACTACTAGTAATAACGGCAGCTGAAGTTTATTGAATATGTACTGTGCCAGGCTCTGTACTAAATACTTCACACGTGTGATTTCCTGTCATCCTCACAATAATCCTATGAGGAGGGTAAGATTTCTATTTTACAAATGAAGTTAAGCAGCTTGCCCAGAGTCAAACAACCGGTGAAGAGCAGACTCAGGATTTACACTCAGGATATACGGGAATGTATATGCCCCCAATTAATAATTAAGTATCTTTCCCCCACCCCCACTACCTCAGGTAACTCTCAGCAAGGAATCAGCCAAAAGTGTTTATAAAGGTTTTTGTATCCCAGGATGCTCTCAGGTGTTCTGTTTTGAATGCCTGTACCTATTGAGAACGGAAGACACCGTGACCTAAAGCCTCAGTCGATGCTGGCTTGGGGGTAGTAATGGGTGTTTTAAACCAGTTTTAAAAAAAAGAAGAGGCAAGGAAATTTAACATAGATGTAGTCATTATTCCTTGGTGAGAGACTTAACTGTTCTGGATGTGAGATGTCATTGTAAATCGATTTTAAAGATCTCTTCAAAAAGCAATGCATTGAGTGGCCACGACAAACGGTAAAGAACTCTCCCAGTGTTGCACACGTGTGTACTTGCCTGGGACAGAATTTCTACTGACAGCTTCAGTGTTGGATTCAAAATTGTCTTTGCCCCAGACAACTTGAAGTGAAGATGCTATGTTCCAGACAACTCTCGAAGAACCTAGGAAGTGGTTCTGGGCAAAGATCTGTATAAGGAATTTGAACATTATTTTTGGGGCAGTGAGAGTGGAACATTTTTAAGTTCCTATTGTATTTACTAGAACATTACATGGCACTAAGTACATGTAACTAAGTGAAATAATGACGAGCATTATTAGGCTATTTCACCGACATCCCTAAAAGTTATTCAAATTGGATCTCAGAAATTTTTGCATCCTCATAGTCATTTATGTGTGTTTATTTACCATGACTGAACAGTCAAGGTCTGTCTCCACAGGCCAGGTTCTTAACCGCCTGACTGTCCTCCCTGTATAGGGCATAAAAAGTGCTGGACAAGAACTAAGTTCCGTGTCATTCTGATAGTTTGGGGGGCTTGTGTAGCCTGGTTTTGTTCCTCTAGTCGTGATGTTAAAGGTATTGTGTATTAATACCTTCTTTATTGTGTATTAATATTGTGTATTAATCCTCCTTAAGATTGGGTGAAGAGAGAAACTTCTTGTCTTATGTCTTTGATAGCCCCAAAGACCCCGCCCAGAAGCACAAGAACTCGCCTCTGTCGAGTGTAAGTAGCCAGACGATAAGCAAGGAGAATAACAGAAATGTCCACTGGGAACGGCCAGAGCCGAGTCCTGGTTCATCAGCAGGTGGCACGTCAGCAGCGCACCGGGCGGTGTCAGGAGAAAACTCGCTAGCCACAGCCCTTGGTCTTTCTGGCGGTGGGTCTCAGGCTGATTTGAAGGACGTGGCCAACACGGCAGGAGAGGAGGGGGACACGTGCCTCCGGGAGAGCCTCCGTCCCGTCACTCGGTCTCTTAAGGCAGGGTGCCGCACGCAGCAGCTTGCCTCCGGGAATTGTTCGGAAGAGAATTCCCCGCCAGCCTCCATCCTAAAGGAAGGTAGCAGGGACACAGGCTGGGATTTCCGACCTGTGGTGCCCCCCGCAAATGGGGTTGAAGGTGTCAGAGTGGATCAGGATGATGATCAGGATAGCGCTTCCCTGAAGCTTTCTCAAAACATTGCCGTACAGGTCAAGTATCAAGTTTCTATTACTACAATGGAATTGGGGCTCTTTATTTATTTACGTACTTATCGAGGGTAGGAGACGTTTCTTCATAGGTGGCGGAGAGCTCCTCCGTCTCGTTTTCTGGTCGGCAACTACCGTACGATTTTCACACATTGCCGTGTGAGGACATCCTTCCGGTGCTCGATAGATAATAAAGCCAGGAGCCAGTGTCTAATCATGGCGACCAGGAACTTTGTGACCTCCATATATCTCTTCCACTGACTAATTGGTCGTAGTCGGTCGTTAGCATTCGTATTTCCCATCTTTGTCCTTGCAGGAGGATTCCTTGTGAATTCTCTGACCTGCAGCTTAAGAAGTTCATTGCATCCCGCCTCCTAGTGACCAGTGTCTTTATTGTAGGAGGAAGGATGGGCACGATCGGTTGTGGGGTCAGGATTCTTACTTCACACTCGAGGCTGTCTGTCAGTCCTTGGGTTGTCCTGTGGGACGCTGCTCAGTGCGGTACAGAGGTCAGCGTCTATGTGCCAGACCTACTGTCCTCTTGCTAGGAAGCCCGTAAGGGGAAAGCAAAAAAAAGTTAGCTTCTTAGTTACTTGTGGCAGATTTCTAGGTGAAACTACTGAAGACTAATTTTGCCTTTTAAAATGTCTCTGAACATTTCTGAATATAATTGTTTCTTTCTTTGTAGACCGACTTTAAGACAGCTGATTCAGAGGTAAACACAGATCAAGATATTGAAAAGAACCTGGTAAGTATTTAAACAGTCACTGTGATATATGAGACCATTATCTCTGACTATCTTGAGTCATATCATCTCAGTTAGAAATGGTGCAGGAATCTCCTTTTCAAATTCCTGACAGATGGTCAGCTAACTTCTATTTGATCACTTCCAGAGATGGGAAGCTTATTACTCATAAAGGAGCCGATTGTATTATGAGAAATAGCTCTTATTGTTGGATCTTTTTTTTTTTTTTTAGTTTAGTTTTTTTGAGAGAGAGAGAGAGAGAGCAGGGGAGGGGCAGAGCGAGACCGAGAGAGAGAATCCCAAGCTTTCTTTGCTGTCAGCACAGAGCCCGATGCGGGGCTTGATCTCACAAACTGTGAGATCATGACCTGAGCTGAAATCGAGAGTTGGACACACTGAGCTGTCCAACCAGCTGAGCTGTCCTGGCCCCTCCCATTGCCAGCTCTCATTCCGAGATGAGGACAGACCCCTAATGCTGCCTGTTAACAGTGTTCTCTTGGGCTCCGTAGAGTAAATCCAAGCCCTCCTTTGTTTGTTTGCCCTACATTTACTTGAAGGGTTTTTTTTTTTTAATGCCTCTTCCTCTCCCCCCTCAAATCTGAATCTTTCCAGAAAAAAACACATCCAGACATTTTTAACATTCTTCTTTTCTTCACGGCATACGTTTCCCAGCCCTTCCATCACCCCAGTTACTTTTCCACTGGGACACGTCCATTTTGTCAGTGCTTTGAAAATGTGACCCTAAGAGCTAAGTACAGTAATCCAAGTACAGAAGAAGTGATTCGCAGCACAGTGAGATTCTCCTTCTCTCTTTCATGCCAGAGGCTGTTTCTCAAGCTTACCTGTGGCAGTCTTCTCACGTTGCTGAGCTTTCTGTACATTTTTCTGGCATATTGTTGAGTCGTATCTTCCCTTTTTTATTCCTAGTAATTGGCTTTTTAAAACCTCAAGAGCTGCTCATTAATTGTTGTGAAAATGGCCTCTGAACTATCCCTGGCATTTATGCGATAAAAACTTCCCATCGCTTGAGTGTACGGATCTCAAAATACGTATTTTTCAAGAGGAAGGCTGAGGCTGGGAAAGGCACCCCAGCATCGGGAAGAGGTCTGTAGGGTAGTACGTGGTAACCGCGTGCAGGAAAGGAGGCAGAGTGCTTGCAGCACCCGACTAGATAAGAAAGTGAATATTTGATCAAGTTGAAGACATTGAGGGGCAGATGGAAGGAAGGAATTATGGGAGCACATTAACCAGATAAAGCAAATAAAGTTTTTCACATAGAGAGCAGCAACTCAGGCATCACTCGTAAGAGGTGGGTAAGAAGATCCTACAGATGAGCGAGCTGATGGGGGGTGCTGGGTGGACACCAAGCTAGAAGAGAAGCCCCAGGGAAAGGGGGTAGAATTCACTGTTTCTTGAGCACTTACTCTAAGCACCTTCATGCAAAGTACTTATTTCATCCCCACAGTTGCAGGGTGGCGTTCTGATGCCTGTAGCAATCTAAGGGGCCAGCTAAGTTCTACAGAAGCTGTAGCACCAGTGTGAAGCAGGAGCTGAAAGCCAGCCCACCATTGGGCCAACAGAGGCCCGGGGTTCTATTTTGTGTAGCTGTGTTCTTTGGCCCACGGGCTTTTAAAAAGGCAGCGGAGCTAGGCGTTAAAGAGTGCGCTTGTTGGGATGAGCGCTGGGTATTTTATGTAAGTGATGGATCACTGGGTTCTACTCCTAAAGCCAGTACTACGCTGTATGTGAACTAACTTGAAGTGAAATAAATACGTAAAAAATAATAATGACCATTATTTTTTATGGGCCAGAAAGCCTCAAGTTTAGTGGTTGTTCACAAGTTAAGAAATGATGGAAATTTCTATGCTTTGACCCATTTATCCCACTTATTTGAATTTATTCTCCCAAATAACTAAAAGTTCATTAGAAGGCAAGAGCTATGTAGCCAATGGTTTTCATTTTTTGTTTTAATGGAAACAACCAACCCTTAAAATGAACTATATGCAACATGGAAAATGCTTCTGATACAATAGTGAAAGAATGAAGGCGATGCAAACTATCCACATAACAATCACCACAGAAAAATATGCCTGCAAATGGCCTCATACAAATCTTCCTGGTAAGAGAGAGGTCACAGCAGGAGACTCTTCTCTTGGTAAACATTACACAAATCAGGAGATCCAAGTGTGGGGAGCTGGGGAAGGTAACCGGGGTAGAAGCGGAGGTGCAGCTCTTCCTTCTGCGTTGTCCTGGACCGGCCAGTGGCCAGCGCAGGTGCTGCAGGGCACGTTCCTCCAGTCCCCCCGTTTCCCAGCCTCGGTCACTGGTGTAAACCGTTGTGACATTTGTTACGTTTTTATTCTGTTTATCTTTTTATTTTATTTTATTTTTATTTTTTTTAATTTCTAGGAGAGAGAGAGAGAGCGTGTGAGCAGGGGAGGGTCAGAGAGAGAGAGGGAGTCACAGACGGAAACGGGCTCCAGGCTCTGAGCTGGCAGTCAGCACAGAGCCCGACGCGGGGCTCGAACCCACGAACCGCGAGATCATGACCTGAGCGAAAGTCGGACGCTTAACCGACCAAGCCACCCAGGCGCCCCATCTGTTTATCTTTTTATTGAAAAAAAGTTTTTTTAAATATTTATTTTTGAAAGAGAGAGTGTGAGCGGGAGAGGGGCAGAGGGAGAGAGGGAGACAGAGGATCTGAAATGGGCTCTGAGCTGTCAGCACAGAGCCCGATGCAGGACTTGAACTCCCCCAACCACGAGATCATGACCGGAGCCCTAGTCAGATGCTCAACTGACTAAGCCACCAGGCGCCCCATTATTCTGTTTTTCTTAATGATGTTCTCAGAATTGACTTTAAATCTGATCATTCTTTTTACCTGGCTGGATTGTAACTACTAGTAATATTTTGTTGGTTACATTTTTAGTGCATATTGAAATTAATACAGAACTATTTTTAAAAAGGCAGTGGCACTAGGCAGGTGTTAAGCTTGGTGGCGGTACAAGACACTTGGCTTCTGTTCTGTTTGTTTCCCTTCTTGTGAATTTATGGTAATTTCCCACTGCCTGCACTTGAAATTGGAACTTCTGATCCTTGGAACCAATTAGCCACCCCATGAAACAAAGTGACTTTGGCCTGTTAAGATGAGATGATTTGGATCGAGTAGTTTACTGTGTCAGTTCTCTGTGTGTGCTATTAGTATGTACCTCCAGCCTTCTTTCTTACCATGAAACCGGTGGGTATTTTTGCCGTCCTGAGTTGTTCTAAATATGCATCGTGGACAGAGGAGGTACCACAAGGAAATAAAGGGAAAGAGCTGTGGTTAAGAAAGAAAGGATTCCTCTTATCTACTAGTTGCGTATGTGTTTTAACCTTTAACTTTTCTTGGGTTAAAGTCTTCTTTCAGAATGGTGTTTTATTTTGTTTTGAGAGAGAGGGCGCAGGTGAGTGACGGGCAGAGAGAGAGAGTCCCATGAGGGGCAGAGGGGGAGAGAGAGAGAGAGAGAGAGAGGAGCAGGACTCAACCAAAGTGGGGCTTGGGTTCACCCAATACAGGGCTTGAACTCACAAACTGAGATTATGACCTGAGCCAAAGTCAGATGCTTAGCTGATGGAACCACCCAGATGCTTCCAGAATGTTTTGAAAACATTAATTCTCATCTCAGAAAAATGTATCTCCCTCCCTCACCCCAATTTCAGAGAGTTCACAGATCCCTGATGCCCGTTATAGGCCTCCAGTTCAGAGTCCCTGTAACAGTGTGACCCTGAGGAGTCGTCGGGGAGCCTGAGTCATGTTTCAGCACCTGCACTAAGGACTAGCGTGTCCCAAAGCTGTAGTCCCCTTTGAGAGCTTTTTATTATCATAACATGATATGTTTTCCTTCTTTTGCTTCTAAAGCCTGTCTTTGCTTTGAACATAATTGTCCTTATCTTTTTAAAATTTTTAACATTTATTTTTGAGAGAGAGAGTGAGAGAGAGTGCATGTGCAAGCAGGGGAGGGGTAGTAAAGGGCGGGACAGAGGATCTACAGCAGGCTCGGTGCTGACACCAGAGAGCCTGACGCGGCTCTCACACCCACCAACCTCCACAAGATCATGCCTTGAGCTGATGTCAGACACTTAACTGGCTGAGCCACCCAGGTGCCCCCAAAATAGTTATCTTTTAATGAACAAGTCCATTTGAACTCTCACAGTTTAAATTTTACATGGGCTGCCTTATACCAGATCCATTTTAAATTGACCATCTTTTAAGTTTTAGTGTCCCTTTGAAAGGTAAGCATCACTTTTCTTGATTTACGGATGTGAGGAGTTAGAACTGCACTGTGGTTCTCAGAAGCCTTAACTTCTGCTCCTCTATAATACGAGGCTTGGCTGAGTGACCCAACCCGAATACCGTGTTCGCCAGACCCCTTTAGTGGGTCTGTCCATTTTTAGCACTAGTGACCAGTAAGGAATCCTGTTTTCTGGATGCATTCTTGAGTAGGTGATCAGTTTTTTTGGTCTTTGCCCATTCATTTCTTCTTGCTCTGATAAAATGCCTCCTTCCTCTTATCCCTAGAGCAGTGACTGCCAGACTTTTTTGTAAAATGTCTGATGGTAAATGTCTTAGTCTTTGGGGCTCTATGGGTTCTGTTGTAACCATTCCTCTCACTGTAGTATAAAAGCAGCTTGTAAGCCATATGGCTGTGTTCTGTAAAGCTTATTCGTAAAGGCAGACAATGGCTGGATTGGGCCCACAGGCCATACATTGCCAGCCCTCACCTTAGAGTAGTGTTGTAGATAGAATGTCCTGTGATGATGGAAATGTCTTGCATCTTGTGCCGTCTAGTACGGTAGCCTTTTGTTATTTGTGGCTACTCAGTACTTGGAATGTGGCTAGGTTACTGAGGGGCCGTATTTTTAAAATCTCTTATTTTAATCGATTCAAATTTGTATAGCCACACATGGCCAGCAGTTAGATCATTGGATTGTGCAGCCCAGGTCTCTGCACAGTGCCTTGAAGAGGCATCTGGTGACTGTTTTTTTACAGTTAGATCGGGGACTTAAACTTCTCTTCTCTGGTTACAAACAGGACAAAATGATGACAGAGAGAACTCTGTTGAAGGAGCGTTACCAGGAGGTCCTGGACAAGCAGAGACAGGTGGAGAATCAGCTCCAAGTGCAATTAAAGCAACTTCAGCAAAGGAGAGAAGAAGAGATGAAGAATCACCAGGTTTTCTGTTTATTAAAATTGTCAATAAGTAAAGCTACACTTCCTAATCAAACTTTAATTTTGTTTCTGAATTAATAGAAATAGAAGAGCATTATTTGTTTTTTAATGGTTGTCTTAGAATTTTAGGAATAAAAAGAATTTTTGAAGGCACCTTGCTCAAACTCTCACTAGTATTTTAGTTCAGAGAGAAAAGTTATTTATTTAACATATTTTGTTGACACAGTTGACTGTCTACCTACAAAACCATGTGATTAGACTCTTACGTTATAGTAAAACATATAATTCTAGGTAAATTAAAACTCTACATGTGAAAACTGAAAAAAATATAAATTAGAAGAAAGTTTAGGAGCATGTTATAAAACCTTGAGTTGCAGGAGGTCATGTTAAGCCCGGCAAAAAACCCAGAAGCCATGAGAAAATAAATCAAATTTATTATATATAATTTAAAACTTTCGATACGGCAAATGGTACAAAAACTACTCAGAAGTTAAATGTTAGACTGGGAAAATGTTTGTGGCACATCTGATGAACGGTTTAATATCCATATCTGTGTTCTGAGACTTCTGTAGATTTGTGGTAAAAGTCAAATACTCGAGAGAAAAACCAGGAAAAGTTATATAGTCTCCTGTTGTTGCTGTGACAAATAACGATGAATTTGGCAGCTGAACATGATATAAATATATTATAATTCTCACGGTCCTGTAGGTCAGAAGTCCAACCTGGGTGTCACTGGGCTAAAATCCAAGTGTTGGCAGGGTTTTATCCCTTCCTGGAGACTCAGGGAGAATACCTTTCTCTGCATTTCTAGCTTCCAGAGGGTGCTTGTGTTCCTTGACTTGTGGCCTCCTTCTCCATCTTCCAAGTCCGCAAATTTCCATCTCTGACCACTCTTCCCTAATCACATCTTCATCTGATCACACCTGGGAAGGGTTCTCCACTTTTCAAGGCCTGGATGATTAGACTTGGTGTTTGATCCAGGATTCTCTCCCCACATCCAGGTCTTTAGCTTGGTCACACCTACACAGTCTCTCTTCCCGCGGAAGGTGACATATTCACAGGTCCCATAGATTAGATGACAGTGTGGACATATTTTGGGGGAAGAGGCTACTATTTTGCCTACAACAGTTATACTTGGTAATTCACAGAAGAGGAAAAGCAGGCGGATAATAAATAAACGAAAAGAAGCTCAACCTCACTGGTATTCGTTCATTCATTCATTTAGCAAGTATTTTCTGAGTTCCTGATCTCAGCTCTGCAGATTTAGTGGTAAAGGAAACATAGTCTCTGCATTGAATGCTGCTTCAAGTTGGAGGAGGCAGACATTCAAAACAGTAAAGGATGGGAGTTAGGAAAATGCTCCCTAAAGTTATTAGATAGCATTCCTCTCTCTCCCCTCAAGACATTGGCAGAAGTGAAATAAGTTGTCAGGGGTGAGGAAAGATGAACTCTTTTCAGACATTTGTAGATGTATGCATTGTTACAACCGTTTTGGAAAAGTTATTAAGAATTATCAGTTAGGGGCGCCTGGATGGCTCAGTCCGTTATGTGGCCGACTTCAGCTCAGATCATGATCTCACAGCTTGTGACTCCGAGCCCCGTGTTGGGCTCTGTGCTGACAGCTCAGAGCCTGGAGCCTGCTCAGATTCTGTGTCTCCCTCTCTCTGCCTTTCCCCACTCACGCACTGTCTGTCTCTCCCTCCCTCCCTCTCTCTCTCTCTTAAAAATAAACACTAAAAAAATTTTTTTTAATTAAAAAAAATTGTGTTAAAACTTAAAATGTTCTGTGACCTAGCAGTCGTACTATTAAGTCTGTTCTACAGAAGTAAACATTTTGAATGAAAGTATAGACACACACAGTATTTATTACAGTATGCTGTGTAGTTACCAAAAACTGGAGTCAGCTTAATGGACTCGTAGCATAGAATGGTTAGATAAATTGGGTATGTACATATTATGTCTTACACGGCTATTTTTAAGTTAAGTCTGTATTGACAGTGTGTTTACGTCAAGTGGGAAAGAGCATGCCGAACAATGTGTATAAAATTCTCTCGTTTGGAAAAAACACAAAAGCAAAGAAATACATAGATAAGTATGCATGTGTTTGTGTGAGAAAAGAGAGAGATGTGAAAGCATGCTCCAAACAGTGAACGTCATGTTTGTTATGGGTGGACGTAGGGTGGACAAGGGGTGACTTAACTATCGCTTTATTATTTGACATCTTACTACAGTATGTATATATATATTTTTGTTGTTGTTTTACTTTAACAACAACAACAAAACACCTTACACAAAATAAAGTAGAACCTTAACAGAACAAAACAAGACCCTTTCTGTTGGGAGTAAGAAATTCCCACTCTGTACAGGCATTCTTTTCAGGTGTTCATTCAGCCTTAACTGAACACGAGTAATAGAGAGGTCATTGCTTCGGAAGGCAGTACATTCCGTTTTTGAACAGTTGGGATTGTTAGAAATTCTTTATCCTGCTGAATTGAAATCTACTTTATTGTACCTTTCTTCCGTCTAAATACTGGCTTTCAGAGCCACTCATCAACCAGATTCTTTTCACTTCAACTTGAATTTACTAAAGTCAGTGTGTTAATTTGTGTTAGTTAAAAATAACCTTCACACCAAAAGAACTAATTCCTTTCCTTCTTTATTTGTGTGTGACTGTAATTATGGGGGACTCAGGAGATACTGAAGGCCATCCAGGATGTAACAATAAAGCGTGAAGAAACAAAGAAGAAGATAGAGAAAGAAAAAAAGGAGTTTTTGCAGAAGGAGCAGGATCTGAAAGCGGAAATTGAGAAGCTTTGTGAGAAGGGCAGAAGGTAAATGGTGCTGTTTAGAATAGAACCCTGCCTGAGTGCATGTATGTATTTGTGCAAAAGTAGCCCGTCGTGTTTGTGTTCCTACTTTCTTTTCTTTGGGTCTAATTCTTATTTGAAAAACAAGTGCACAGATAAAATCCTCTAACGACTTTAGCATTCTCAGCACCTTGTGTGAGCTTCAATAAAAACAGTTTTAGGTTCAGTAATACTTTGAAATAATAGCAGCTGCTTGTTGAGTCCTAAGTATGATCAAAGGTTTGAGATGCATGTAACAACCGTGTCACTTGCTTTGAACCTGATTCTTGAGAAGTTCAGACTATGGAAGTACTCGGATTATGTTATTCACTAAAACAGATTTCAAAGAGTAACGTTGTAAGTCAGCTGTTTGGAAAGAATTATTTAGTGGATCTATGTTCTCTTCTGGGTATTACAGCAAGAGCAAAGTAGGTACAGAATTTGGTCAGATTTTCAGTTTTCCAAGTTTCTTAATGTTGAAATCAAAATAACTATGAACACTGAGGATTTTATTTAAATTCTAAAATGTGCTTTTATTTGTCAAGAAAATCTTGGCTTGCTAATGAGTCAGAGCTCTGAGTGAAAAGTAGCAAGCTCATCTGTTGAATCATTTTCCCAAGCATGAGAGATGGTACCGTGAAAGGTCAACGTGAGAAAGCACGTTTGGGAAAGAGCCTCGGGACCAATCTGTTTTGTTGCGACTGGAATGATAACGATTACACGGTGGGTCGGTTGTGGGCGCTGAGCCATGCGCCGGCGGTTCTGGAGAGTGCGCTGGGACCGATCCCCTCCGTGGCGCTGCGAGCCATCGAATCCGCTGCCGCTACCCACTGACAGCATGGCCTTTGCCATCGTCTTCACGGTCTGGGAGGGAGGGGTGAAACAGAGGCATGTGTGTGCAAGCAGCTCAGCAGCAGGTGCCCCAGTGCGCAGAAGCCAGGAAGGGGCGTCTGTAAGTATATTCTAGACTCTGTGAAAGAGTTCCTTTTGATGTGAACTCTACACTCCTAACATATCTCCGACCACTTTCTTTACCCTCTGATTGGATGGCCCCAAAGTGGTTGATAGAATAGTGTGCTGCTTGTGCTCTTGAAGATCCAATTGGGGTTTTTTTACACGTGTTGTAACTATCAGAACGATGCTTTCTGTCCCTCGTTTTGTGGCACGTGGAGTTCACTTTTCCACAAGTAGGAGGGAGAAGTCTTCTGTGTGTGTCTTTGTTCTGGCAGCGGTAGAGGTTTTGTTTCGCATTCCATCGTCCAGAGTAACTGTGGGCACGAAGCTTCTGGTCATTACATTAGTTTGCTTGGGCTGCTGGAACAGAGTACCACAGACTGGGTGACCTAAACAGCAGAAATGTTTAAAAAAAGAAAGAAAGGAAGGAAGGAAGGAAGAGAAAAGAAAAGAGAATAGAATCAAGACGAGCAATAAAAAGCCCACCACCACCAGCATGACAACAGCACAGAAATGTATTGTGTCACAGCTCCAAAGGCCAGAAGTCCCAGGGGAAGATGCCGGCAGGGTTGGTGTCTGGCGAAGCCCGTCTTCTTGCTTGCAGACCCCGCTGCCTTCTTGCCCTGTCCTCAGCCAGCCTTCCCTCCGGGTGTGCACGTCCCGGTGTCTTTCCTCTTCCGTGAGGCCACCAGTCCTACTGGATTATGCCCTCATTTCACTTAAATTACAGGCCTTGTCTCCAAATACAGTCACATTGCTGGTTAGAGCTTCAACATAGGACTTTGGGGACACAATTCAGTCCCTGGCAGTCACCTTTCCTATTTGCAGCTCTTTCAGTCAGTCAGTCAGTGAGTGCTTACGGAGTGTCTCCTGTGAGCCAGACAATACAGCCTCAAGAATAAAAAGTCCTCAGGGAGGACTTTTGTTTGATAAGGGAGGTGACAAGTAGATAATGACGAAATAGTATAATGATAACCATATACTGGTACGAGACCCAGACTGGGTAGGTGGAGTCAGAGAGGGCTTCCCGGAGGAAGGGGTTCCAGAAATAAATCCTGAAAGATAAAGGGGAACATGAACACCAAATTCAATGCATGATCCTTGGTTTGATCCTGGATTAAACAAATAAACTATAAAGGACATTTTGGAATAAGTGGGAAAATGTAAATATAGATTACATATTAGATACTGTATTGATGTTAAACATTTGGGATACGGTGGGCTATACTGTTGCGTGATTATGTAGAGGGTTGTTCTTGTTCTTCAAGAGATACTTGCTAGAGTTTTAGGGGCTAAGTGTCAGGATGTCTGTAACTTTCAGGTGGTTCTGAGAGAGGCAAAGTGAACGTGGCAAGTAAGGGTAAGAGCTGATGAATCTAGATGACGGGCACGTATTTATTATACTATTTTATTAACTTTTCTGTTGGATTGAGACTTTCAAAGATAGGGTTACAGGGTGGGGTCAGGTACCAGGAGGAATGAGTGGGGCAGAGAATAGGGCAAAAACCTTGCAGGCAGGGGGCCTGCAGCTGAGAGCCACAGCTGAGCTGTGAGCTGGGACGGAACGAGGCCAGTGAAGTAGTGGGAAGCCGGTCACAAAAGATTCCGGTGTCGTGTTCAGAGTTTGGGTTTTTCCCTGATAGACACACGGAAAGATTTTGAGGGAGGAGAGATATCAAAGGATGAGCCCTGTGTTCTAGATAAATGACCTGGGCAGGTGGAAAGCCGATTGGAGTGGCTGGGAGGGCCACGTAGGTGACATCTCTGTCAGAGCGCCACCCGCCAGCGGGGACGAGAGAAGGGGACGCGTTTGTAAGGAGCACTGGGAGGTGACAGGGAGGAGCTGGAGAAATTCCCATATTTCTGGACCTGAAAATGGGGGAAATAATGGGGTTCTTTTATAAGATGTCTTAGGCATTTTACTTTTCTTACAAGCTTCAACTTAATTTTACTTACTTTGCGACATCGTCCTTATCCTGAGCTAATTTCTGATTTCTCTCTCCTCAGAACATCTATAAAGCTCTCTGCCGATTTAGTGCTTATTTTTATATTGTACCCTACATTTTTTCCCACCTGTGTATGTTTCAGCTGTCCACTTACATTGGCCTCTTGAGGATAAATACTAGATTCTCTCTGTCTATGTATATGTTATTTAAAAAAATTAATTCTCATTCTTTTATAGTATTTCCTTCACTGCTATATGTCTGGTAATTATTTGACAAGTATTTGTTGAATCACTGGATAGAAAATTAAGAGAATTTCACATTGGGGTGCCTGGCTGACTCAGTTGGTTAAACGTCTGACTCTTGGCTTCAGCTCAGGTCGTGAACTTATGATTGGTGAGTTCGAGCCCCGTGTCCAGCTCTACTCTGACACTGCAGAGCCTGCTTGGGATTCTCTCTCTCCCCTCTTTCTCTATCCCTCCCCTGTTCTTTCTCTCTTCCTCTCTCTCTCTCTCTCTCTCAAAATAAATAATGTTTTTTTAAAAAAGAGAATTTTAGGGATGCCTGGATGGCTCACTTGGTTGAGCGTTTGACTTCAGCTCAGGTCATGATCTCACAGTTCCTGGGTTCGAGCCCTGCATCAGGTTCTGTGCTGATAGCTCAGACCCTGGAGTCTGCTTCTCACTATGTGTCCCTCTCTCTGACCCTTCCCCGCTTGTGCTCTCTCTCTCTCAAAAACAAATAAACATTAAAAAAAATGAAAAAGAATGTTACATTGATGTTATATAAAGGTGAATTTAATAGAAATCTGCTAAGTGCTTTGTACTATTTGAGGTAGTCACTATGTCTTTTATTTATTTATTTTAAGTTTATTTATTTTGAGAGAGAGGACTGAGTAATCAGTTTATTTGATGTTTTTCTCCTGGGTACTTGGTTGCTTTGTCATGGACGTTGTCTTGCTTTCATGGGACACTTCCTAATTCCCTGTTTATATTCTTCGAGTTGATTCCTGGCCTGGGGAAGCTACTGGCTTCCGTGTGCATGTTGTTCCAGGGAGGAACTTCTTCTTTTTTTTAAAAAAGAATTTTTTATGTTATTTTTTTATTTCTGAGAGAGAGAGAGAGAGAGACAGCGTGAGTAGGGGAGGGTCAGAGAGAGAGGGAGATACAGAATCTGAAACAGGCTCCAGGCTCTGAGCTGTCAGCACAGGGCCCAACGCAGGGCTCGAACCCACGAACCATGAGATCATGACCTGAGCCGAAGTCAGACGCTTCACCGACTGAGCCACCCAGGTGCCGCTTCTTTTTAACATTCCTGACTTAAACTGTGACTCATGGAGAATGACAGCAAGTAGAGCCCTTCCTCAATAAAAGATGGTGAGCTTGCGCTTTAAAGGGCATCATCAGTTAACTCAGAAAGTAGCCTGGGACCAGTAGCAGGAAAGCTGCAATATTAGGCATGATTCTTCTTTTTTAAAAGATGTTCTGAGCTTCCCTGGTGAACTCATATGATAGAGTGATAGTTAAGTAACAGATCAAGGGACTTAGTGTTGGAGGCATTACTTTAGATGTGATACAAGAGCCGGTACTAAATTGAAATAACAGGGTGCATGAAGATTCATTTTGGAAATTGCTCACCAAATCCTAGTTTATTTAACTGGTATGCATGGCAGCCCTAGCAGCTTGCCTAGTAATCAGTCAGTCTGCTGAGTGTTTCCTGCGTGCGCAGTGGTGAGTGCGCAGCGGTGAGTGCGCAGCGGTGAGCCAGGCTGTCACAACATCCTGTCACCACAGCCTTCAGTCCTGCCAGTGGTCGGCTTGTCCCCAGTTAAGTCTACACTTGGACTGCTTCGAGTCCCCTCTCTCTTTTAGGGACCTCACTCCTTTGCCACCACTCCTCCAGTGGCCGCCCCCCCCCTCCCCTGGAAGCATGTGTTTCTGTAGCCAGCCTAGACCCGTGGTCCACTGCTTGAATTACTCCCTTAGTGACTGTTACCTCCATTCTCTTCCCCTGAATGCTTCTGTAGCCCTCCAGTCCTGGGTCAGGTCAGCCACCTGACCGTTCTTCTCGCCCTGGGCTGCTGAGAGC